GCTGGGTCCTGGCTCGCCGTGGGGCGCGGAAGAGTTAACGCTCACCTGCGGCTGCCCTTTGACTTCCGCCTCCGTCCCGGCCGGCCGGGACGTCTGGATGGGGCCCACCGGTGCGCCGTTGCCCCTTTAAGCGCTGGACCCGGGCGCACGCGCAGCAGGGCGTTCGGGCGCGCAGGCGCAGTGGGGCGGTGGATGTTTAGGGCGGCAGAGGTCGGGGCTGCGTAGTGGGAGGCGGACTGGCGAGCGGCGCCAGAAGAGCTGCAGGTGCGGCCCGGCGGCCGATCCCGCGGGCCCGCCGAGCCAGGAGGTACTGAGCCGCCGCCGCCGCCGCCCTCGGCCCGGCCTGCAGCGGGGTATGGGGGGCGGTGCGGCCCCTCGGCCCCCTCCCCCTCTCCCCCTCCTCTCCACCCCTCCCCTTCCCGTGGTCCCGGGCTCCCGGACCCGCCCCCAGGGCCGCCCTCTCTTCTCCGCGTCTTCCTGTCCTCTTCCGCTGTCCCCTCGTTCCCCACCCCAAAGCATAAACACCCCTCCGCGTCCCCGGCGTCTCCCGTCGCCCCTCCCCGCTCCCCGGGGGTCCGCCCTCCAGCGTTCCGGGGGTTCCCGAGGTCTCGCCAGGGGCGCAGACCTGGGTTGACTTAACTCTCCAGACGCGTAGCTCGTCCCTGACTTACTAAGTAGGAAACATTTGCAATTAGCACGGCAAGTGGAGAGTTCCCAAGGTTTGAAACAGGTTGTACCTTTTCAGAAGGTGACAGAGTCTGTTAAGGAAGCATTGGCCCTTCAAGCCTTGGGGACTTAGGTTCAGGCAAGACCTGAAAGAAGTCTTCCGTTGCGAGAGGAGAGCTCGCCGGGCTGTGGTGCGTGTGTTTTGTTTGTGTTTGCGAGGGCCTGTGTCTCCCAAGTTGATGTTTGCACATCACAGAAGTCCTTTATCTCCCACCTTTGCTCATGTGCTTGTCAACGTTTCCTTCGTTCTTTTTGGCCAAGGAGGGGCTGAAGTAAACAACTGCATTCTCAGTGTTGGGTAGACCGGCAGGTTCCTGTATAAACAAGTCCGAACTTGTGGTTCTGCTGGGGGGAAATAGAGCCATACGCTAGGGCGGGAGGGGCACTTGGAGATGGTGGGTTTCGGCTCCTGAGACCAGCGCCTCGGCCCCCTCCCTGCTTGTACTTGGCGCGGGACATCCCTGGCGGGGAGAGACTCCTCCTCGTTCTGACAACGTGTCAGTATTTTCAGTTCCAGTTTTAGAAAGCTTTTTTGTGTGTGTTTAGTAGAAATTATCTCCATCCAACACGTGTTCCACTGGCCTGGCTTTTATCAGGCTCATGTATAGTGTGTATATGGCAGTCTTTCGAGTACTTGGAAAAAAAAAATCCCTCTGCATTCCTTGTAAGAGTTTTGGTTTTCAAAATGAAAGAAGTCTCCATTTCTTCCATTATTCCTGCGGCGGGAGGTGTGGTTTTGGTTCCTTCTCCCCAGCTCATCTTCCAGCTGAATTACTTTGTCCACGTTGCCCTTAATAAGTAGCCTGGTAAACCCAGCGTCGACTTGAATCTTGGCCCCGGGTATCAGAGCTGCATGCTCCGTTAGCCTGGCCACTGTCGCAGCCTCCTCGATTGTCCACCTGAGACCTTCCGATGCCTGGTCCTACTCCAGACCGGCGGAGCGCCGTCTCCTCCCTGTGCCCTTACGGCTGGTTTTGGAGTAAGCAGCATTATGAGGCTTTCTTGTTGGGTGGTGCCCGGTTACTGCGGAGCGGTAACCTCAGGGTTGCAAAGTATAGTCGAGTGCAGCATCCGAAAAATGACTTGCCATTACTTTGAAAAATTGAATTTGAGTGGCTTGTAGGTCCAGATTTGGTTTGGCAGAAGGGCATCTCTTAACCTGTTGTTGGTGTTTTTGGTGGCATTAGGACTGATCGCATTCGTGGTCAGTAATAAGCAGCGATTGTTTCCAGTGTGAGGGAGTGTTAGATTGCCAGGGAAAGTTAATAGTAAATATCAGATCCTACAGGTTATCACGTGCAGCCTACCAGTGGCAGCAGATAGGGTTACCACGTAGTTATCTCGTCTGTCATTTTGGATAGAGATTACCAGTGTGTTCATTGGTAAAGAATTTTGCTCCCTTGAGAATTTTTTAAAGCTGTATTTGGTGTGGGGTAAAGAACATAGGCCCGGGCTTGAATGGCAGCCCTCTCCTTTCATACTGGTGTGTGATCATGAGAATAAATTCTCAGTCCCAATATGCCTAATAATGTCGTAAAGCCAAAATGACGTCGTTGACTGGCAGGTGGTGCCTGTAAAAAGGTTGTAGTTAGTTGCTGGTTTTACTAAAAAGCTAGCCTTTGCACGTGGAATAAACTTTCAAAGTGAGGCAAAGTTGAAAATAAGGGATAAATACTTAATAGACAATGAAACATACCCAACATATACTTTGTGTTTGCTTTCTGAGGATAGAACGTTATACTTTGCGGGCTTCTGGGTGAAGAGGTGGCTTTCAGATCCGTCCTGGAGGATGTGTGGGTGCCAGACATTTCCCTAAAGCAAGCAAACATGACTCAACTTTTAACTAGTGACCCCAATTTTAAGATGACTGTCCAAGGCTAGGGGTATAGGCTGTAGCCTCAGAACTAAGTGGCTCATCCAGGATTAAACTTGACCTCATTAGCACTTTATCCCATCTGGCTAAGTTAACTGGCCGTGGAGTGTAACCAGGAAGGGCTCAGAAACAATTTAGAATGGGGGTGAGAATCTAATAATTGGAAGATCCTAGTGACTTGGAAGTCTGATATTCAGCTCTAAAATTTTTAATTTATTTTATATATTTTAAATTAAATAAAAATTTTTTAGTTTTGGCTGCGTTGTGTCTTCGTTGCTGCGCTCAGGCTTTCTCTAGTTGCGGCGAGTGGGGGCTACTCTTCGTTGTGGTGCACGGGCTTCTCATTGGGGTGGCTTCTCTTGTTGTGGAGCATGGGCCCTAGGGTGCGTGGGCTTCAGTAGTTGCAGCAAATGGGCTGCAAGTAGTCGTGGCGTGCAGGCTCGGTAGTTACTTAGTTGCTCTGCGTCATGTGGCATCTTCCCGGCTCAGGGCTCGAACCCACGTCCCCTGCGTTGGCAGGCGGATTCTTAATCACTGTGCCACCAGGGAAGTCTTCAGCTTTAAAATCTTGACGATGAAGATGAACTGTTCCAGCCATACATAGAAGAGCGTTTGTATTCAAAGTCCCACCTTTCACACATTTTGTGTCCTTGTGAGAAGCTGAAGATTAGTCTGTGTGGTCGGTGGCTTTCATTCCTGGGGAAGTCTCTCCCTCCGCAATTGACAGTTTTGTGTGTGGGCTGTGCGTGTTTGGAACTCTTAGTTGTGGCATGCGGAGTCCTCTTAGTTGCGGCATGTATGCGGGATCCAGTTCCCCGACCAGGGATCAAACCCGGGCCCCCTGCGTTGGGAGCGCAGAGTCTCCCCCGCTGGACCACCAGGGAAGTCAGTGCTGTTTTCTTTTTTCCTAGCAATTTATATCAGACGTTTTGTAAACATTACCATTTTATTTGAAGTAAAAGCCCCTAGGGTAAGTATGAAATTGGCGTTGTTTGGGAAGAGTAAAGCCTCTGGAGGTGAAGGAGCAAGTTCGCCGTGAGCTAGAGGAGGGTGCATGGTGTTTTGGTAGCCGGCTCAGAGGGGAGCTCGTGCTGTTGCTTTGTCTTCTTGGAGGCGGCTGGGAGGAGAGCGGAAATGTACGTTCCGTTGTTGACGGGCCGGAAGGGCTGTGTCGTAGATGCTGACACTTGGAGGAGCTGAGGGAGTTCTAGTAGCAGCTTCTCTTGCTCCTAAGCTGTAGCCTTGAGACGGATGCTGTTCGTTACAGGGAGGTGTTTGTCGCAGTATGTTTCGTGGCGAAGAGGGTTTTCTGGATGTTGTTTTTGCCTGAAATTTGTACATCAGAACGTCCAAATCGGTCCAAATTGGAGCTTGAATGGATTGCTTGACTTGATGTTTATGTGCATGTGGGATGTGGAGTTGCTGGATAAAGTATAAGACAGCAGTTAAATTTGAATTTCAAATGAACAATGAATAACTTTTTATTATTTGTTGACCTGAATTAAAAAAAATTTTTTTTTTTGCTTTTGAAAATTTATGTACCAAAAAAAAGGATCTACAGCACTTGAAATATTCAAAGAGGTTGATATTAGAATGATTTTCTAGTAGACACATCTGCTTGGTATGTTTACATTCAATGATTTTTCCATATGTGGATATATACTTGTTAAGATAGACACATATTCGGGATTTCCCTGGTGGTCCAGTGGTAAAGAATCCGCCTTACAATACAAGGGATGCAGGTTTGATCCCTGGTCGGGGAACTAAGATGCCACATGCAGCGGGGCAACTAAGCCCGGCACCATAACTACTGAGCTCGTGCGCCACAACTAGAGAGCCTGAGTGCTGCAAACTACAGAGCCCACGTGACCTGGAGCCTGCGCGCCGCCACAACTAGAGGGAGAAAACCCACATGCCACAACTAGAGAGAAGCCCGCATGCCGCAACTAAGACCCGACCAAAAAAAAACACAAAAACGGATAGGTGTATATTCAAGATGATTTTAATCCTAAATGCTTGACTTTCTAGAATGATGACTTTCAGTAAATTTTTGAATTCATACTTGAATGATGTTTTTAAGTCATCAGCTATGTTTTAGGTATTGCATGTTCATCTGTATTCAGTCAGTACTATAAATTACAAACTTATTTTTGGATGGATATAATTGAATTTCAAATTTAACTTTTTTTTTTTTTTTGAATCTGGCATTCTTGGGAGTGGAGGGGGGTAAGGTGTGCGGGGGTGGGTGATGACTAAATATATTCTATCCGTATTACTTTCAGAGTTCAGAATCTGAAATTGGTATGTGTCTAGAACGTTTGTTGCGCTGCTCTAACCTTTAGTATGAATTGCCCTTTTAAAAATCTTAAAGCGGACGCTTTCCGTAAGCGCGGTCCCGAAGATGGGAGGCGCGGTGAGTGCCGGTGAAGACAACGACGAGCTGATAGACCATCTGAAGGAGGCGCAGTACATCCGCTCTGAGCTGGTGGAGGCGGCCTTCCGGGCTATTGACCGCGCGGACTATTACCTCGAGGAATTTAAGGAGAACGCGTACAAAGACTTGGCGTGGAAGCATGGCAACATCCACCTCTCCGCTCCGTGCATCTACTCGGAGGTGATGGAGGCCCTGGACCTGCAGCCTGGCCTTTCCTTCCTGAACCTGGGCAGCGGCACCGGCTATCTCAGCTCCATGGTGGGGCTTATCCTCGGTGAGTCTGGCTCTGTCCCACGTGTAGGAGGGAGAGCCTGCCGGCAGCGTGTCCTTTGGTGGGGACCGAGTCGCAACTGCCCTCGGCCTTCCCGGCCGTCGTGGTGTCCACGCAGTCCCTGGGTGGGGGGTGATTGTATTAATCGAGAAATCCCCATAAGGAACAGAAGGGTCCTCCTGCAGCTTTCCTGTCCCCCCAGCCTGCACCTCCAGCATCTGATCGGCACACCCTCCTTTTGGACAACGGAGGACCTAGACATTGTATAAATCTGGACCCTGTGGTCATTTCTCGATTAATACAGTCACTCAGCCTGCCCTGTCATGGTCTCTAAACTGGGAATAGTTAACTTTAAAGTCCCCTGGAAGTTAACGTTCTTCCAAGCAGTTTTTGTTTTTGTTGTTTTAATACTAAAAAAGTTAATACTTGTAAGTTGTTTATTTTTACATAAATTCCAGGGATGGGAAGGATTTCACAAGTTATCTCATTTGAAGCCATTTAGCCTGTTTTCCCAGGTTTGCTAAATATCAAAGCTTTCGGCTTAAGTATCTTAACATCGTTACCGCGTCAGTGTAAGATTCCGAATATTGGCGATTTCAAGTAATAACGGCTTTAAAGTCATGTTTAAATCATTAGCGGTCCATCACAATATTGTTTCTTTGTGGTTGATACAGGCACTTAAGAAAATCTTAGCAGTAACAGTTGCTTTTTGTGGGTATGGAATGAAGCTTTCGGTTTCTTTTTTTTTTTTTTTTTTTGCTGTACATGGGCCTCTCACTGTTGTGGCCTCTCCCGTTGCGGAGCACAGGCTCTGCACGCGCAGGCTCAGCGGCCATGGCTCACCGGCCCAGCCGCGCCACGGCATGTGGGATCCTCCCGGACCGGGGTGCGAACCCACGTCCCCTGCATCGGCAGGCGGACTCTCAAACACTGCGCCACCAGGGAAGCCCTCGGTTTCTTTATAAGTTCATATACTTTAAAATTTGCTGAAGTTTTGAGATTCTGATCATCTGACTTTAGGCTATAAATTGCTACCCTCAGATTATTAAATGTGAACTTTTTTTTTTTTTTTTAAGCTAAATGCTTTTTGAACTTAACTTGGATTGAAACTGCTTTGCAAAGGGAGCCTGGGTTATTCATCATTCTGGAATTAGTGAACTGTAATTCCCTCTGTTGGAGCTGAAAAATTGGAGGAGCTAAGGATAAGCTGGTCAGGTTATCAAACTGGTCAGATTAGAAATGCTATTGAAAAGAAATGAAGTGCTCAGGCAAAGGTGACTTAAACCTCCACTGACCTGCTGCACTTGATGTGTGGAAGTTATAAAGAGACAATTGATGTTGTTGCTTGTCTTTTCTGAGCCCCTCTTTCTTGGGAATTTCACTAGACATTAGGGGAGGAGAGAAGCTGTGTTTTCGGCTGCAGTGGACACCGCGTGCTGCTTTGATGGATTTGAAGGAGGTAACTTGAGAGTTTGCATTCACGGGTAGACATCTTGGATCTGCAGGGAGAAAGCTGCGCGCCCTGGACCGTTTTCACTGTCTGGATGCTGTGTGTCCTGGGCCTCCCTGTCTGGTTCATTCAGCCGTGACGGTGCTTCGTGCAGATCATTGCAGAGGTGAAAACCTTGCTGGCATCCCAGTGCCTGCAGACGTGAGGCTTGAAGTGTTTCATCTGACTTAGGGGTTCTTATCCTCTGACCGCAGCCTTTCTGCCCGTCTCTGAACCGTGTCCCCTGTCTGCCGCGTTCCTGTGCTCATTCTGTGCCTCCACCCCTTTGCTGAGGGCGCTCCCTTCTTGAGGTCCCAGTTGGCGGTGGGGAGGACGCAGCACTTGTCAGCTTAACCTGAAAGTGCTGTGTGATGTCGTGTGATGCTCTGCTTGGGGGGCCTTGTGGGACTAGTTTCAGTGTTGTGTCTTTGGTGCCACCATCCTGACTGCCCCCTGTACTCCCTCCGCTTTTAGTTCTCTTTTTATTGGGGTGGGTCGGGGGATATGTGTTTTTAGTCTGGTGTGAAGCTTCTTGGGAATAGGAGGTGTGTCCTCAGTAAGTGCCTAACAAAGGTGAGGGGCTAATGAGAACATGATGAGTGGGGAAAAAGGCAAGTTTTCTTGGTCTCTGGCAAGTGACCAAGAGAGCAGTGGGGATGGAAACGGAATAATGTGGATGTGATATAAATACTGGAAATGTGACTTCTCAAGTAGGCTGTGTTTTTTCTTTTTATGACTATGTTTATTCTTTTTTTAATGATATTTTATTTATTTATTTTATTTATTTATTTTTGGCTGCGTTGGGTTATTTATTTAGTTTTAAAATTTTTATTTATTTATTCTTGCTGCGCACGGTCTTTCTCTAGTTGCAGTGAGCGAGGGCTGCTCTTTGTTGCGGTGTGCGGACTTCTCATTGCGGTGGCTTATCTTGCTGCAGAGTGTGGGCTCTAGGTGAGTGGACTTCAGTAGTTGTGGCACGTGGGCTAAGTAGTTGTGGCTCGCGAGCTCTAGGGCGCAGGCTCAGTAGTTGTGGCGCACGGGCTTAGTTGCTCTGCGGTATGTGGGATCTTCCTGGATCAGGGCTCGCACCCGTGTCCCCTGCATTGGCAGGCAGATTCTTAACCACTGAGCCACCAAGGATGCCCGTAGGCTGTGTTTTGATGAGAGAATGTTATAGCAGCAGCTCTGCACGTGACAGGTGTTGAGAAAGGAGAGCGCGTGAGTCATCCAGCAGAGGCAGGGAGGCCTGGGCCTGGGGCCAGGCTGCTGCACCAGGAAGGGGCCAGATGAACCAAGTGGCAGAATGCAAAGCTGTGGGTGCACAGATGGTTGCATTTACCAGTATTTCTGTTGGACTGTAGGGTTGAATGCTGCACTGTGACTTTATATGTATGTCTTTTATTTATTTTTTTATAAGATTTTTTTGAGGTGGACCATTTTTAAAGTCTTTATTGAACTTGTTAACAGAATTGCTTCTGTTTTATGTTTTGGTTTCTTGGCCCTGAGGCGTGTGGGATCTTAGCTCCCCAACTCGGGATCGAACCCGCACCCCCTGTATTGGAAGGCGAAGTCTTAACCACTGGACCGCCAGGGAAGTCCCTGTATGTCTTTTAAATAAAGCCCTATGTACCCTGTTCATTTTCACAAGCAGATTTTTTTTAATTGAGGTATAACTTACCGTAGAAAAGTAACAAGTGTGAAGCATGGAACTTGGTGGGTTTTTACATCCACCTCCATGTAAGCATCACCCAGAACAAGGTGCAGAGTAGAGTCTGTGCCCCGGAGGCCCTTGTGGCCACCGCCCCACAGCAGGACCGCCCCCCTCCAGAAGGGGGAAGATGCTCACCTCCGTCACACAGATGAGCGTTACCTGTTTTGACGTTCATTACAAATGTTTTTATTTTAATTTAATTCAATTTGTTTTATTTTTTAATTTCTTTTTTACATTTAAAAAAAAAATTTATTTTTGGCTGCATTGGGTCTTCACCACTGTGCGAGGGCCCTCTCCAGCTGTGCCTCGTTGCGGTGCGCGGGCCTCTCACTGTGGTGGCCTGTCCTGCTGCGGAGCACGGCCTCCAGGCGTGCGGGCCCCAGCAGTTGCGGCAGGCGGGCTCAGCACCCGTGGCTCGCGGGCTCCAGAGCGCAGGCTCAGCAGCCGTGGCTCACGGGCCCAGCTGCTCCGCGGCATGTGGGATCCTCCCGGACCAGGGCTCGAAGCTGTGTACCCTGCACTGGCAGGCTGACTCCCAACCACTGTGCCACCAGGGAAGCCCTATTTTTATTTTTTTATTAAAAAAAATTTTTGGCTGCATTGGGTCTTCGTTGCTGCACGTGGCTTTCTCTAGTTGCGGCGAGCGGGGGCTACTCTTCATTGCGGGGCATGGGCTTCTTATTGAGGTGGCTCCTCTTGTTGCAGAGCACGGGCTCTAGGCGCATGGGCTTCAGTAGTTGTGGCATGTGGGCTCAGCAGTTGTGGCTTGCGGGCTCTAGAGCGCAGGCTCAGCAGCTGTGGCACACGGGCTTAGTTGCTCTGCGACACGTGGGATCTTCCCGGACCAGGGCTCGAACCTGTGTCCCCTGCGTTGGCAGGCGGATTCTTAACCACTGCGCCACCAGGGAAGTCCGACCTTCATACAAATGGATTCTTACAACACAGAGATTTAACGAAGCTGGTTGTGCCAGTAGTTCTCACCGAGATTTAACCCAGAGGCATCTGTGTGTGGAGGAAGGCACTTTTCATCAAGTGGGCCCCTAACTTGTCTCACAGCGTTATTTCCAGTTACTGATAAATTTCTTTTGATGAAAAAAGTTTCATCTTGATTTTGGAATTATAGTTTTGTTTTGATGATGATGAAAACCTATTTTGTGAGAATTAAACACCACACCTGAGTGTTTGGGGAGATCTTTGATGGAAAACAGGCCTGTGTCCACTTTCATTTGCAAATACATGTTTCTTCTTTAATTCATTAGTGGCACTTTGAACTCTTGGTTACAGGCCTTGGCTTTTTTACATTTTCAAATGATTCCTTAAAAGTTTGAGGACAGGGAGGTCCAGGCTTTAGGAAG